TCTCAGTTCATTCAACAGGTGTCTGTTATATCAGAAGGCATATCTTACTCTTATCATGAGAGAGTATCTGTTATCAAGTTCTGACTGCTGAAACAGTAGTGTATTGTAAAAGAAAAGCAGCTTAAGAACTCAGATTATCACATGTATTATTCAGTGAGTTTACAGATAGTTGTAAAGTACTTGAGATTTTTATAATCTATGATTATCTCAAATTCAGAGATACTTCAGAGTTCAGAGTCTTATTCTTCTAGACAGTATACAATTATAAGAAGTTTCTTATCATAGATCTCATAGTTGTATTCAGCAGAACTCAATTTCTTAGATATGAAGACATATGATTATAAGATATCTTTATTATCATATTGTAATATAGCTTTCTCTGTAATATAGTCAGAGAAGTCAGCTTCAACAACTATTTTATAATCAGAATCAAATATTATTAGTAAAGAGATATTGATAAACATCTTCTTCATCTGTATGAATATAGCTTCAGTGTTCACTGATCACTGAAATACTGAGTCTTTCTTAATAAGTTCTGTAAGTGATCTTATAATATCTGAGAAGTTTTATATAAATCACTGATAGAAGTTAGCAAATCTGATGAAGCTTCATACATCTTTCACAGTATATAAGGCTTCTCATTCAAGAATGATGAAGACTTTCTCAGAATTCATTCAAATTTCCTTGTCAGCTTCTATAATAAAACCTAGATATTTAATACTCTTGATTTCAAAGTTATACTTGTCAATATCTATTGATAGTTCTGCTTCTTTTAATCATTGTAATACTCTTTATACATATTCTTGATATTCTTTTCTGAACTTATCAGTGAAGATGAGAATATTATCAAGATATGCAGATGCAAATTCATTAAGAAAATCTCAGAGTGCTCAGTTAATATACTTCTGAAATATACTGAGAGCATTGACTAGTTTAAAGAGTGTAACTATTTATTTAAAGAGATCATAATATGTTTAAAATACTGTAAGCTATTCATCTTCTTCAGTAATACAGATTTTATGAAACACAGCAATGATATTTAGTTTTATAAATCATTAAGCTTGTTCAATGTGAGCTAGAGTTTCATTGATAAGAGATAAAGAATAGCAGTTCTTCTTAATTAATCTATTCAATTCTCAATAGTTCACACAGAATCAGAGTTCTTCATCTAGTTTCTTTGCAAAGAGAATAGAAGCTGCAGTGAAAGAGTTGCTAATATATATAAATTTCTTATTCAACAGATCATTGAGTATCTTCTGAAGAAGAAGAAGTTCATCTCAAGACATGTTATAAAGAGAGTCTTATGATGACTCAGAGTTCTTATCATTCTTCTTTTCTAACTTAATACTGTGATCTACTTCTGAGCCTTATAAGAGAAGTATATTCATAGTGTTGTCTTGTTGAAAGACATCTAGATATTCATGATATTATTAAGAGAGTTTTGTACAAGAATCTGTTATTATAATATGAGATAACTTTTCTAGAGTCTTTTTAATATCAGTCAGACTGATAGAATAGATTGATACATAGTTCTACTATCAGCAATTCTTTCAGTGACTTCTTTTTCTAAGTATTTCATAGATGTTGACAGGGATCTGTATCAGATTCATAGTCTTGTGAATATCATTCTCATGAACTCTATCATTGTTAGAGAATATTAAACTCCTGTTTCAAGCATTTAATAAGATATCTTATTCAGATAGCTAGACAAGTTCTAACATAAGATCATAATCAAGATTATCAACTTCATATGCATAGACATCTTTACACTGATATTCTCTGATATCTATGTTTAGTTTCATCATGTAACAGATGTAAACATCTTTTGAATTATTAAATTCTGCAAGAAGTCAAGATTTTAATAAGAAAATACACTGAAGGTTATAATGTCTTACAACTGAAGATTTAATCATTGTATAGTGATATAGATCACTGTCTATCATGACTTTCATATTATATATGTTATTAATCATAGTAGATATAAGAATTGCATTCATTGTGATTTTCTCTTCAAATTATTATTATTCAATCTCTTCAAGCTTTTGTTTATAAATTTGAACAGAAGTTAATCTTTTCTCTGTTTCACTGAGACATTCTCATAGTTATCTTCTGAATCCTTCTTCACTGCAATGTGGTTGATATGAACAGACACTGATTCATTCTTTAAATAAGAAGAGACTGATCTTTCTCTTGATTGAGAAGACACATAGGTCAATTAACAGTTGAAAGCAATGTGTTCTAATCAGTTACAGTTGATACATACTTCACATTGACATCAATCAGTGACTTCTTCAGAAGTGATCTCAGAAACTCAGAAGTCTGTTCAAACAGTGAAAACTCTTGCTTATGTGTAGATATTCAAGTCTACTCAATTCATGATATCTGCATCTTTGTTATTCTTCAGCACAGATGTATGAGTGACTGAGTTATTTCTCAGCACAGATATGTAAGTGTAATGTCTTCTGTCACTATTCTGTATACTTTTGAGCTTGATAAGACAGTCATTCAATGTTCAGAGCTGTGTGCAGAAATCTTTATAAGTCTGATCTTCATCTATGCTTACAAGGGCCTGTAAGAGTTCAAAAGTTAATGTCTTCTTAAGCATGCTAATCTTTATTCAATTCTCTCAAGATTGATCACCTGCTTCTAGAATCTTGATATTGAAGTCAGGAATGAATGTTGTAAGAGAAGTGTTTCTCTGTCAGATACTCTGTAATTAATTTAACACTTTCTGTTGCATGACAGTGTCTCAGAACAGAATATCAAGATATTTGATAATATTATCAGATGTTTATAATACTGATTTACATGTCTTCATTCATGAATGAAACTTCTGTTTCATATAATTCTTCAATCATTCATTGATATATCAATCTTGATTGATTAGCAAATCAATGATATCTTCATTCACACTCAGTTTTATAAGCATTTTCATTCTTCATGATGAGTAGAGAGTGAGATCAGAAGCATTAAAATATACAGAAGTATTTAAGCATTCTTTCAGCACTTTTATATTTAATTCTGTAGATGTTGAAATTGTCTGAGTTTCTTATTGTAATAATTGTTAAATCTCTTCATATTGACATTGTTAAGTTGCATGTATATCAGCTATTTATTACTGTTGCAATTTCAATATTGCTCAGAGTCACTGTGATATTACTTCTATACTTACATTTAAGAGTTCTCTCATATTGTTGTTAGACATGTCATTCATTAAGTGTATAATATCTGTGAAATCTTGAAGAAGTGTAATTATATGAATATCTCATACATCTGAGTGTCAGAACTCTCAGATCTTTCACTGATATTCTCTTTATAAGATTTTATTACAGGGCTAGAGTGACTGAGAAGCAAGCTTCTATCTGAGAACTTGATGTTCACTTAACTGTTTGACTGTTTCTCTATTTCTTACATATTATTACATGTTCAGATATCTCTCAATGAATAATCATTTCTGATAAGAAAATAATGCATAAATAATCATTTTCTAATAAGAAGACAATGAATGTTTTTCTAGTATAAGAAGTCTACACTGAATAGATCAGTATAATATTGATAGATCTTATATAATAAAGAGAAAAACATTAGAGAAGAAAAGAAAGAGAAAGTGTGAGAATCAGTAATTAAAATGAATATTTATACACATATGTGATGATGTATATAGTGAAGTTTCAGGGTGAAAGAATCTAGATGCATTCATAGCAGCTGAGAATCAGTGATCAAGAATGGCTGAGAATTGAAGTGTACATGTTTGAGAATGAAGTGATTGAAATCTGTGAAGTGTAATGAAATAGTCTATATAATTAATCAGACACAGTCTGTTACATACTTAAACTTTATAAGTTATAAGATAATTATAATTAAAAAAATTATAAATATTATAAATCTTTATATTATAATAGTAATTTACTCAATTAATTAGTAATTAATTAATAATTAATTGAGAATTAATTGAAAATTAATCTATTAATTTTCATCTTTTCATAGTTTTTACAGAGAATTACTACTTTTATATCTCTGATTATTTTTTTCATTTCTTTTAAAAGTGACTAATAATCAGTTAGTAATTAATTCATAATTAATTAACTTTCAAAGTATGATTTTCTATCTTACTGTTATCTTTGTATTAAAATAACTTTAATAATATTATCTTATTCTTTTCTTCTGAAGTGAACAGGTTTACTGTAATATTATTATAAAACTTTAAAGTATTTATCAATTAATTAAGAATAATTATATAAAAATCAGTTAATAATTAATTTATAAATACTTACTAACAGTTTTATTAATTACTTTCTACTTAATATAGCTTCTCTACTACTCTGACACTCAGATTCTCTTATATATATTAATATAATAATAAAGATTATTTATTAATAAGAATTAATACTATAATTAATTAACAATTAATTTAGAATTAATCAGAAATTAATTTAAAATTAATTATTAAATATCTTTATCTTAATATATTTTAAAATTCTGTAAAATATCTCTTTATATTCTATATAAATTTATCTATTTATCTAATTGATTATAAATCAGTTATATATACTTTAAAAATTAATTCTTAAATAATATTCAATTAATTACTATTTTATATTCTGAGAGAGTAAGATCTTCTATTATTACTACTTAAAGATATAACTGATAACTTAATTATAAAATAATATAAATCAGCTTCTTTATTTTTTTCATTAAAAATCATTAGATTTTCTATCTTTTTTATTAATATTTTACTTACTATCTGAGTTAGAGCTGCTATATCTACTATTTCACTGCTTTTTTAGTTAAAGAATGAAAAATTTAATTGATTAATAAATTAAGTGAATAAATGAGTGAGTGATTGAAAGATTGAAAGTCAATTATCAACTGATTATTACTGTATTGTATGAGGTCAGGGTCATAATTATGTAACAAGGTCAAGTGGCGCACTTAGCAAGGTCATGTTTTCTGTATACACTAAAAACGTTGCTTTGCCAGAACCAAGCTGTGATGACTAAGCAAGATCAAATTACCACGTGACTAGCACGGTCATGTGCTTCTGGACCGTTCGTTCTCTGCGTCCAAACAACGAGCAAAAAAGAGACTTGCGGACAGAATTACAGGCAGAGACTTGGCCCCCCAAATTCCACCATTGGCCCTACATTATTATTGGCATTTCGAATACATCCTGTCCCTGTAATCCTCCCTGCCTAGCCGTCGGTATAGTTCGTCGGGCCTATCTGCATGACCTAACTGCGGGCTCCCACACACACCACCCAACGAACTTACCTATCCCACAAAAACACATGTGCCCGTCGCAACACGCAATCCTTGTTTCAACCTCGTAGAACATTCTTTGTTCTTTTTCCCTTCGTCTCTCCTTTTCTGGCGGACCTCTCGATTTCGACGGAATTGCGTTGCGGCCAAATAATTGCACTTGGGTCAAAAAGCGCCGGGGTCCATTCAGATACCCCTCAGTTTTGATAATCGGCATAGGCCAAAAGGACGCACCCTCTCAACCGTTCGCGAAGAGTGGACCGACCAGAAAATTCCCTAATATACCATTGAGCATCGCCAAACAATATCGAAACCAATAAAATCCATTAAAGAGTATTGACGCCTCAAGCCTAAGGTATGCTCCTGCCATCTTGAGCGAGGTCGAAGCCTACCAGTCTTCCCCTCCCTCACATACACCCACGATACGGTTTCTCTCCGCCCCCCGCTTCCGACTCTGGAGGATCATACAAGCCCGGGGCCATCGTGTCTAAAACCACGCCTTCATCGCTGGCTGAAGGCCTGGACCGGCTGGACCTCAGTCAAATTTCTACATCCACGCCGTCCAGATCAACCTTCAGCTCTTTCGCCATGTCGTCCTCCGACGGATCCCCGGATACTTGGATTTCGTCGTACTGCTCGCTGATGGGCCATGAGTTTTTCGCGGAAGTGTCGGAAGATTTTATTGAAGATGATTTCAATTTAACCGGCTTGCAGTCTCAGGTTCCCTGGTACAAGGAAGCGCTTGAGCTGATCTTGGATGTGGAACCTGAGGAGGATGAGGAGGATGAGGAGGATGAGGAGGAGGATGAGGATGAGGACGCTGTTCTGGGAGATGATAGGCTTCCCGGCTACCGAAGAACGGGCGAGCGAAAACATTCACGCGTTGCCAGCGACCTGAGTGTGATTGAGAGTTCGGCAGAGTTGCTGTACGGATTGATTCACCAGCGGTATATTACCTCGAGGCCTGGGATCCAGCAGATGTTGGAGAAGTACGAGCTGCAGCATTTTGGCGTATGCCCTCGAGTTTATTGCAATGGATGCAAGGTACTCCCGGTCGGAATTACAGACACACCTGGTGTTGATACTGTCAAACTCTTCTGTCCAAGCTGCCAAGATATATATACGCCACCAAACAGCAGATTCCAGTCCGTCGATGGCGCATTCTTCGGCACTACATTTGGCTGCCTCTTTTTCATGACATTCCCGGAACTCGATGTCGCAGGTCAAAACGAAAGCAGGTCCCCTAGCCAGACCAACAGCTCGACAACAGTCATGAGCGCAAACTCACGGCATCCATCCTCTATCTCCCCACCCCTCCCACCCCAGCCCTCCCAGATAAACGGCATGATGACGTCAAATCTTGCTCCCGGCCTCGGGCGAGGCAAAATATATGAGCCCCGGATTTATGGCTTCAAAGTGGCTGAGCGCGCCAAGTCTGGGCCGCGCATGAAGTGGCTTCGGATGAAGCCGGACGATATTAACGAACTAGACGAGAGCGCTATCTACCACACGTCACACCCCGAAGGAGAGGCTGACGAGGATGCGGATATGGAGATGGGAGCGATGGAATCACAGCAACAGGCTGCTGCTATCAGTCGGAGGAAGAAGGCGCCGATACGGAGACGGAGACACCAGAATCCGGATTTAATGAATTCTAATGGTATGGGACAAGGTCTATGAGGGCTTGGGTACGAATGTTTCGTGCGGTTTGTTGTCTTTTGTTGTCTAAATTTTTCAGTTTTATGCTTTTGTGATCAGCATATACGTTGCCCACTTTTTGATGGAAATGGATAATGCAGCTACGGTTCCGAGTCATTTTGTATTTACCTTTCTTATTTTTTCTTATTCCTTTTTCCTTTCTTCTTTCTTGAGCAGTCTTGTTTGTTTCTTTTTTGTTTCCTTTTCTTTTTATCTGTGTTCCCTCTGATAGGATTTTCCTTGATCGCTTTCCTCTTCCTCTTCCTCACTTCCCTGCTCAGTTTCTTTCTCACTTCATTTTACTTCATTCCCAATATTTATTTCTCAAGATAACTGTATCTATGTAGTCAACCCTTGCCAGTTTACCTCTGTTCCACGTTTTACCTGCTTCATACATTTCAACCCGCCATGACGCCTAGAACCACTAGATCTTAACACCCCATGTCACAGCTATGTCAATTATCATCTCCCACTACTGCATTTGTATCTAAAGGCTCTCTACTCGTCAAAATCTTTTTGATTCTCTGTTAGATTTTTTCGTGGGATCATGTCTATATTTATTATGCTTTCTCCTTTCTCCTTCTCTCCTTTTTTAAAAACAGATAACTAACGTGTGGAGTTCTGTTTTGTTTGGCAAAGGAAAAAGAAAGAGAGGGGGAGAAGAACCCCCTCAAAATGCAAGGGATGATATATCGATATTCACTTTTCTAATAATAAAAATAGATAAATACCTATATAGCGTAGTTAGCTATAGCTCCGAAGGAAAAAAAAAACTTGTAAATAGAATGGTTTACAAACACGCTCGCACACTTAAAAAAGAAATCATGAACAACACCAAAACGCCCCGGGCAACGGAGGCTTTAAGAGTACAAAAATCAACATTTAAAGGAGCAAAAGTAGAAATCATAAATCACACGCAGCCAAAATTACGCAAATTTGTGGGGACATGGAACCAAAACCATCCAGCAGTAGCAATGCCACTGATATCCCATTTCTGCAGGCTCTATAATATCAAGTCTGAAGTTTGGTGACAGTGTGATTATTTTATCATATCATTCTAGTTCTTGCAGTGTTTGTTAAAATGAAATCTGAAATGATTGTTATTTTTATTTCACTGTTTGTATCACTCAATAGAAAATGCAGTGAGCTTTGAGTACAGAAATAGATATATGTTTTGATACCAGCCTTGTTACTTCAACTCAGGTATAGGAATAGCTATACATAAGAAGGGCTCTTTCCATCGACTTGGCCAGCACTGTGATCACACAGCTGTCAGTAGATAGACCTTCAGTATTTCAAAGGAGGACTCAGTGGCAGCGAGTACAGCATTTCATCTCTCCTAATGTAACTTTCTCCTTCATGAAAGTTTATGATAGTAAAAGGAAATCCTCGGCTCAGAACTGTTATTTGTGAATTGCGTCCCAACGTCGTGGCGATATACTTAGAGGCGATTTCGAAATGCCATAGTGACAGAGGCTGCCCTCTGGGTATTTATATGGAGATTCCACTATAATGCCATCAACAGCACTCTTTATACAAGGTGAGTTTCAGTGAAAATCCATACATGTGAATCGGAGAATGCTCAGTATCTTTTCCAATTTCAACATTCTCTCTGTGTCGCCCTTGCTCAGCAGATACAAGTTCCGGGGAGGCTGTCAACCAGAAGCATGGACGACCGATGCGACGCAGCTTGAGAAATTCGGGGTGAAATCGGCCGAAGCTGACAATTTCGCAATGTACTGACGCCCGAGGTGCGTGTCAATTGGCTAGCAAGGTGTCACAAGGCGTGGGGGATTAATATTCGCACAGCCCTCACATTCTATCAGGTTTTTTTTTTTTTTTTTGAAGTGACACAGCACAGCCGAACCCTGCTACATCTTCGGCATTCGGCCCTTGCATTGCCGGCGGCTCCACAAAACTATCAGCCCTAGAAGGCGGCACCGAACCCCGTAGCCCAACGGCCCATACCAGAAGCCTGAGTATCTACTGCTCTCGTCAACTTTCTTCCACGTTTGGACAATGAATTTCCGCGCTTTGACATGGCAGGGCAGGGCAGGAAGGTTTTCGTTTTTGATTACATCATGCCGCTTTTCCAATATTCCTAGTACGGACGCAGCTAATTTCTTGGGGTGACCACGATGCCGCCACATCTCAGCCCTACGCGCGTAACCCTAGAAAGTGACAGGATCCGCCGCCAGCTATCTACGCAGTCGATACCGTACTTCACATACCATCTGTTACGATTTGAAATCATAGATATCGACCAGCCTGGCGCAGGTGTGTGGCAACAAGGACAATAATGGGAGGGATTAGCTCTCTCGCTCTGTCTCTCTTCGTCATCGAATGGCGCAATGCGTTCAACGATACGCCAACGTCATCCCTATTTTGATATTCGACGAGGACTGAAAAAGGGATGAAAATGTAAATGGTTTCCGGATGAAAACGACTAGACTCATGTGGGGGTATCTAAAGGATGTCGTACCAGCCACTATTACCGGCTTCTTGGATTGAACAAAACAATACCAACCGGATCCGGACAGTGCAGGATCATTGCCAGAGGATGAATTTGAAGTGTGGTGGGTGTTAACTTCTTGTTCCTCTTCTTCTTGTGGTATGATGCCTCTATGAACCATGTTCGGCCTTCCATTCGATTTCATTCTATTCTCTTACACCTCTCAACTGATCATCAGGGGGCCTAGGGCTGGAAGAAGAGGTAATGCAACACCTTTGCATTTTGTCACAAAAACAGAGTCCCTTCTCGTTCTCTAAGATAAAAAGGGAAAAAGAGCCAATTAGTTTTACCATGATTGCTTATCTCCGTTACTATTTGTGGAGAAGTATCATTTAAAGATTCTAAGTAAACATCAATCATAACTCTAAAATATATTTATTGTTAGGGGATTTAACTATGACACCTAACAAGGCCAGCATTGGGGTTCTAGCAGCCTTCCAACAGAATTTGGAAGTAAAGAAGATACTGATTTGATAGGAAGGGCTCTTATTGCCTTTCCTTAGTTGTGCTGTAGCAAGGTGGGGCAGGGGACTGAACCCACAATGATGAGCACAGGCACACTACACTTCAATAGAAGCTCTCGCTGAGATCTCCAGGGGAAAAAGGGGGAGTCAAGTAATTCCTTGTCTACTCGCAGCAAAATAGAACCAAAAATGCCAAATCCTTTCACTCACTACATGCAGCACATAAAACCCGGGTAGGTCAGCTCCAAAATCGAGTACCCACGTAGGTGGGAGGCAAAAGTTCTGCTTTCTATTTTAATTTAGTATTATGTGTTTAATAGTAGTGTAGTGTATGCTCTAATCTTTACGATGTTAATCGAAATCAATTAAGGAATTGCTTATGGTCCCCAGGCATAGTTGTCTGCATGGTACTGTGCGTCGGTATCCCGGATTCAACCAACGTCCGACACTAGCACTCATAAGATAGTAACCGCTATCCGTTATTTCTATCCAGCCCCAATATTTTTAGAGCATCTGGGGGGATCAACAAAGTCAGGCAAAACAATTCATGGTCAAAGTGTCAGTTAAAATTTGGACATGGCCCTGACCTCGTCAGGAACCCTTCGAGCAAGGAACTGAATTTAAAGTTCTAAACAAGCGCCAGACATGGTAGACTTGTTCTCAGCCATTCCCCTATATCAAGTGTAAGACAATACAGTGCAATGCAGATTGATATATGCAACCGCCTACAAGATGGTAAAGCTAATACTGGGCTAATCTCAGTGCCGAGGGCTGGGACCACGCTAAACCCAGGTAGGAAGCTCGAGAATATTATTGATGGTAGTTTAAACGCCGCGACAGCCGAAAAAGGAAGAAACGCGGCAGTGGCTATGGCTGTATGGAATTAATAGCCGCGTTGGATAGGCATCTCGCTTAGCGCGCTCAAACCAAACCCATTCCTCTCTACGGCGTAAACGGCCAGCCTGCAATTCTACCACCCATCGGCCTTTAAAATGGATATAGGCCTAAGATACGTTTCTAGAAGCTTTCTTGCTATCCTTTAGCAATCTTTTTTATTTTATTTATTTGTTGTTTCTTTTTTGGTCTTTCTTTTTTTCGGGGTGTGAGAGCGGGAGAGGAAGTCCGTGGTTATTGGCCTTCTCACCTCCCAGCTGAGTGAAGGAATGTTGCCAATATCCAATAGGAAACACTCCAGAAACAACCTAGCGATATATTGGCCTTCTTTGACCTGTTCCCATTGGCGGCAGACAGGCCTCGGTCACGGCAGGGATTCGTGCTCTGTGAAATTGGTGGCTATGTGGGTTGGGTAACTTGTTAATGAACCCCATGCCAAGTTCCTTATTCCAACTAGCGAATCCCTTGTGGACGGGATAATCAATGAGGGGCACGGGGTATCGATCTCAATGTGCTCTGAAAAGTACTAGATACAAGAGTAATTATCTTTGCTAAAAACAGCTTTACGAGCTGATGCCCAATTTACTCACCCTTGAGTAACCGAGTTAAGAAGCAAAGTCATTCAGGTCAGTCAACTACCGTTTCTAATGTAGCTATGCCTGTTGGGAGTGTCTCAACTTACGTGCCCCTCGCTCGCAACGTTGGGATATTCTTCATGTTCAAGAAGCTAACCTCTTCCCGCATTAGCAGGGAGCCAGAATGAGCCGGATTTTAAAGATCACCTTTGAAGCTCACTGGCTCTAAATCAATAGACAGGGCTACTCCTAGTGTTGGATCCCGGGCATTGCCTTGCCAGCGAGATGTCCTACAAATAGAATTCTAACTTCTACTATGCCATTTTTGGCTAAGTAATATTGACTCAGTTCAAGTTCCAAGGCGGTATTGTCACATTACGACGCTAGTCCGAGCCCTGGGCCTACTCTCGAAACTCAGGTCTTGCAAGCCACAAAATTACCTATGTGCACGCAAGGCTGCACTAGAAACAACTGATCTAATATCCACTACGTCCGTAGCGTGGGCACGCGGGACCCCTGCGTTTGCAACGGTTGGCCGGCCTCCGGGGGGGTAGTCAAGCTGTGATCCTGCGGAGGATCGTTTAAAGTTGGGACTGGCCTCTCCTGGAGGTCAAGAAATTGATAAATACCCCCCATGCACCGGTAGCAGTCCTCTCCTTCAAATTGGCCAGTATCCGATCATAAATTGTACACATCCACCTCTTCTGCCTGTTCGTTCTCCTATTTTTTATTTTGCTGTATATCTATTCCACATTTGATCCTGAGCGATATCCTACCCCTCAAATTTAATGTCAACACTCTCAGCCGTCATGAATCGGAGTGCGGCCTATCCCTATACTCCTTCCCAACCTGCGCCGCAGTCGAGGTTTAATTCTAGTCATGGAACTAGCAGTGCTTTCAGTGCCAGCGCACATCCCAACGAGGATTGGACAAAGATATCCGATCTCGCTGAGCGACGGCGTATTCAAAATCGAATTGCTCAACGAAACTACCGTAAGCCACAGATTATTAACCACAAATATTTGTTCGTCTTAGCTTACTGACCAAAAACAGGCAAGAAGCTAAAGCGACGCCTTGAGGATTTGGAAAGAAGAGCCACTTCTTCGTCTGCATCTCCAGAGCAATCGCACAAGGAGCTCAGTCTCCCAGCTACATCAAAATCGAAGAAGTCCAAGTCCCCTTCACGGCGGGCTGCCACCATAGAAAAAGCCAAAGCCAAAGATGACCAGAAGGCGCCAACGAAGATGGTTCTGACTCAGCCACTCTCTTCTTATCAAGGCGAGCAGCGAGCCAGCATGTTCTCCGATCCATCAACGAGGCAGTTGTCTGCCTCTCCTCCACTTGCTTTCGCCACCCACTACCAAGCGTGCTCTCCAAACTACAGCTACCCACAATATCCCCAAGAATCGACATACCACCCTGCTCCGATCCCAACCTCCGAACTTCCACCCTCAGGTTACTATATCCAGCCACTATCTTCGCACCCGCCCCCTGCTCAGGAACTGGTTTACCCAGAAGATGATCCGCTCACGCCATTTGGTATGAATTATGCTTCGATGGCTGGGTTCGACATCCCTGCCACCTCTGCTCCGTACCAAGATCCAAACTCCCTTGTAAGTCGGAACTAGTGCCCAAGGGTTGAACTTCTTCCCACCCACACGAGAACAAAGAGAAAGAAAAGAAACATAAGAAGCTCACGGTTTTCGGATTCAAGACGCCTCCCCCTTTACAATCAGGCCCATATAGTCGATCGAACACTGCTTCTCCAAGCAACCCAGTGCATAGGCATCCAAGGACTCCTCAGCACTTGATGGCTTCACCGCTGTTGTCCTTTATCTAGGCGACAAATTCGGGAGAAAAGAATATACGATATAGGGGCCCGGCAGGATGAACGCGCTAGGTGATTTTCTATCCCGATTTTTTATTTTATTTTTCGAATTTTATTTTATTTTGAATTTACACTTCTTGTAACTGTATATAGCGGTGGATTCCTTCTTTGACTTTGTTTACGGTGTTACATGAGCGTATATGTAACCCCTCTTGACGAATTGCAAGAGTCTCTTTTTGTTTTGTTTTTAATATTGGTCACGGCTTTTCTTTTTCTACTTCCTTTTTTTCAAAGCATATGAAACGGATTGGTGGCAAAATAAGGGGCGATTGCGTGCAAGTTTCTATGAGGAGGTTGGAAATGGAGACCAACTCCTGGCGTTCATTTCTCTTCTGGCTTATCAACCATACGATCAACCCAACAAACAAGACATTACAGCGTAAATACTTGTTGGATACCGATTCTATACGTGTACATAACATATAATAATAATAGACTTCCTGTAACGAGCAGTATTTTTTTATTATTCTTTTTTAACTAGCGAAATCATCAGGTTTACCTTTATTTATGTTTTTTGGCTTTGCTCGCCCTTCGGAACGGACTTCGAGTCCGCTCGCCAAGAAACAGGCGAAACGGGGGCCGCAGCGCGGTCTTGGCTGGAGGCGCGAGTAGCTAGCAATACGCGGGAACGGGGGTGGGTTGCAGCGTATCAATTATCGGAACACCTTGTGGTTTTTGTCATAGTTAGTTTTTGGCTTGGTATCGCGTCATTCATGTCCGTTGAGAGGAGAGGTTTGACAGATATTTCCCCCTTTCAAGTTCCTTCCGTATTTTACCGGATATCAAACCAATCAGAATTCAAATCCGCGGTCCCAAAATGCGTAAAGTGCAGAAACATATATATATATACTATATATACGGAGTATATATACTCTCCTTCATCCGAGTTCCAGTTCGGGTCAGATGATTTGCTACACAAAAATGATTGATTATCATCAGATCTTCCTGTCCCAGAGTCCGTTGCTGAATAGTTTACTTATATGCTTTTGAATCTTAGCTAGTTGTTAGCCCGTTCCAAACTTCGTACCACTTCTCTCTCCCCGCATGCCCTGCGCGGAGCTCGTCCCGCCACCAAAACAAAATAAAAGAAAAGGAAAAAGAAAAAGAAAAAAAAAAAAAGGAACAATCATCGAATGCTCGATCCAGTCATGGAAACTAGCCTTCTTAACTCCGAGTGGAACGAATCCGTTAGCGAGAAGTTTATTTATATTCATTCTTTCGGTTATTTTTTTTCCCTTTTCCCCCATGGGCCTTCTCCCAAACGACGCTCGGAGATATCAACGTGTCGTATCGTCAAACCTCAATTCCACTAGGTCCTTGTCCAAGACCCCAAATGTAGCCTAGTGTTGCGCTTCGTGCCAGAAAGCGAAGCCTGTCTTGGTTGAAACCCGTGGGGATATGTTGTGTCCATGTTTCTTTTCTTTTTTTGCGGACCCAAGCAGAGAAGGGGATGCAGTTCAGGGATGTGATGAGAGTCAAATCCTCTTCGGAAAAAACTAACCGGCCCGTAGATGATTTGTAAGCTACGGCTCCCCCTCCTGCACCTCTGGTCGGACCGTCGTATGCGGTTAAACCGTGTTTTTGAATAAGAGCGAAATCTTTCGAAACACCTTTCGCGCGGTTATGATTTGATTCATCATATCATTAGTGGAAGGAATAACGATCGCCGTCCATGCCTACGCGAGGCATGGAACGAACATAGAAGAAATACTGTATCCTGAAGCACTTGTTTGTTATTTTGCGGGGGCGAAAAAAGAGAAGAGAAAAAAACGCCCTGCTATATTATTAGTTTTGAAGTTCTGGGTGTGTTCCAAATAGAAAAGCTACGCTGGTAGACGGATGTCGCAGACCGCTTGCTAGAATCACAAAAGTGCCCGAAGGACCAACCATCACCGCGCAAGAACATAACTTGCAGCGAGTCTCCTAAACAAATGTTACCGATTGGTGCCGACCAAGTCTGTCCCCCAAGAACAGTCCAATCTCCTTGAAACTAGTCGGTGTATTCTGTTGATATCGTAGCATTTCATCAACGTAGCCTAACACTTGTTGTTCCATGGAACGCCCCTTAGTGGCCGAAGATATCTTGGAAGCCCTTGGAAATGTTTCTTGCTGGCCTGGAAAGAAGATTCTTTACCGATCCCTCCCCCCACTATGCAGCTATTCTCTGCGTTGGCGGAGCGAGGGGATGGCGATCCCAGTGGCCAATTGCAGGCACATTTCTGCATACTCCGTAGCCGGATCCGAATTTGCTGAAGGAGGTTCTGGTCTGGCTGCGACTAAGTAGTAGCGTAAACAGGCAGCCGGCTGCGTGGCTGGGAATGGAAGAAAAGAAGGATCTCATCCGTCAGCACTCAAAATATCGACACGAGGTTTAGCGGCTGACTTGGATCTGCCCAGGGACGGACGGCGGCAACAACCACCTGGATAGATCTGATTGACAAAATTCCTTCAATCCTTTTTGCATTGATTCCAGATGGAAATTTCTCAGCTTTGCGAAGAGTTTGTGAACTCATGCGAGAAAAATTAGCTGCGGCTGAGGGCTAACGACAACCGATATTGCTCCGCGGCGGGGAAATCTTTTTTTTTTTAAAGTCCGCGGCCATTTCAAAATGATGGAACCTTCCTAGAGCTCGGATGCTTTTCTTTGCGAGGGAACGAGGTCACGGCTGGCCCAGTGGCCCACCAGGCCCGAAATCCTGCTGGTGGTTAGTAGCAGTTACCTCCGGTTCCATGTCCTAACTGTTCACTGCTGGGATGGGACGGTGATGGGACGATGTGCCCAAAAGCTAAAATTGAGGCGGCAAGCCACACTGCCCCGATGGCAACCTTGGCTCGGCTGTCCTCCCGTTTCGTCTGCATGCAAAGTTAACAAAGAAGTAACAGCAACGGCGACGACGTATTTAGCCATTGCCACGCACGAAAGGTTATTGGCTTCATGGAATCGACAGGGATATGTATGGGGGAGTTTTGGCGAAGCGCTGTACATGCGTATGTACAGTACATATATCCAGTACTGTTGTACTATAGTTATATGCCGTCGAATGTAAGCTGCTCAGCCTTATATACCAACTAGCCCACGATGAACGCTTACTGAGGAGCGATGGTTGATGACGACACGAAACTTTGTTGTTTAGAAAGTAGCCTATATGAGAATTAGAAGGCAACGCGGGCTGCGGAGTGTGTGAAGGATGCAGAGTTGACTGAGACGCGGCGGTTGCTGAATCAGACTGACTGATGTCACGGCGGAGGCTCTATCTATATTACTAGTTGTATGGGCATGGTATGCCATATCCTATTTTTATACCTCAATAATAATAACTAACTTATATACCCTTGCAAGGCTCCCATGCAGCAGCGGAGGCCCTGAAAACTGAACACGTTCTAAGGGCTCTCGGAAATTAACGCGTAGATACACACAAAAACACACACAAACACACACATCCGGCCTCCGTCTCAGGATTCATGTTGGACCTAACCCTTCGGACACAACCCTAGAATGGTTAGATTCATTGTTCAACACTCTTGTCTGTTGCTCCCTGATCCTCGCAGGCACGGCACTGTACTATGGATGTAGGCGGCGTCGTCTGAGGACTTTGAACGGTGTCATCAATCACGAGAGATCGACACGCTCTCTCGTTCTCTCCCTCGTTATTCCTCCTCCAATAGTCCGGGAAAAATAATGTGAAGGGCATATTATTAGTCCAGTCCTTCTATATGATAAGACGCGCGGCCGTTAACCGCGAAAAGAGCGTCGGATTCCTACTGCGTATGTCCAGCCGCCATGTGGCCAGCTCATTCCACCATTTCTATTTTATACAGGAAATGTGAGACTGTTGATGTGGAAAGGAAACATTTCTACTTTACCTTTGTTCGCGGAGCGGAAACATAGCTCCAATCATTCCCAACTTAATGGATGGGTTAAAAATATCGTCTCATGTTTCAAGATGTGCTGGTACTCCCCTCGCTTCTTTTCTTAGCTATCAGGGTTCTTTTCATTGTCACTACTCCGTATTGTCGTGTCATACCTGAAGGGTTGTTGCGCTAGTAGGACATCTGTAGGCCACTCAGTGCGGCCTTCTGGGTTCCCAACGAATTAAACATCCCACACATATATACACACAAGCGAGGCGGATTGGGAATGGGGTCCCTGGGATTAGATGCTAGACTGGGTGCAGAGAACCTCTCAAAGAAACAATCCCACACTCCGGCACGACCCTCTGTGCTGTGGACTGCTATTCCATGCAGGCTGCAAGCAGGAGGAAGATTCAGGGCATGGCATAAAAGAGATCCCAGCAGTATGCCCTTTCCATTGTCTTCCTGGGGCTGAGTTTGGTGTTAATCCGGTATTTTGATCGTCAATTCGTTACCATTTTGTTACCGAATGGGCTGAAAATCCTACTGGACTTTGGCGGCAAAGGGAGGATGCAGGATGGGGACAAGGGGAGATTGGGAGAAAGGGGCAAGCTACCCAACCAGCTGCGGCAGCTACCTTGCGTGGAGAATGTTGCCGTAGGTACGCACCCTTCTCTTGGCCCCGGCCTTCGTCAATATATTTACTACGTAGATAATTAACTATATATCTTAGCAAAACTCATGTAATAAAAATTCACTGTAGTACGGCGTAAGGGGCGGGGAGTAAATGACACTCTCTCAAGTCACAGTGGATAGAGATGGATACCTCTTGAGCATTCCTCCATACTCCATGCTTTTGATGGGAAGCAAGTAGATCGCCTCTCGCTAGCAGTTTGTTGCCTGCTCACCCCACCACTTAGGAGACTGAAGGTCTTGGGTGGTTGGGGGTGAGGCTAATCGGATGGACTCCACAGGTCTATGCGCGCGATTTCTGCAGACTTGATGGAATATTCGTTTGGGGACTTTCCTAGCGGCGTAAGCAAGGTAATTAAAATTGAACCCTTGTTTGTTGTGTGCCATCCGGGATAACACCGGACTAGGCCAGGAAGCGTATGATGGTAACTTATGAGCTGTATAAAAATTTATCCTCTTTCTCGTTGATCCCAGGTGGAACCTCTCACATATCAACCGGATGGACAGGATGTGGACGCACAACCAATGAGTTTGATTAAATGGTGGCCAAATCCATAGGCGGCGGAGGGTTTCTTTCTAGGTCTAAAACAAGTTGTTCTCCGAATACAAGAGTAAAAAGAAATTGAAACAGGTAACGTAATTGGTAACAGATTGCAGGAGAAAGGCTGTCTAGGCTGTGGTACATGTAAATCAAGCGAAAACTGTATAATACCCTGGTAAATACCCAAAGGAGTAGAACTAAAGTTTGACACTAGAAGAGGGGGTGGGTTAGGGCTATATACTTAAGAAGAGGGGGCTTTGTTGGGTAGGACTTACCTCCAACTATGTTCTTCATCTCCATACTGAATCCCTTCAATCCAGTTCTTCATCTCGAGAGCCACTTTCCCAGCCTCTTCATTTTCTTTCAAACCACAGTCCACCGTCCGTCCTTTCCAGCTAATAGTGCGAACGGGACTAACAATAGCCGCAGTTCCCGCTCCGAATACCTCGATCATCCTTCCCTCATCAGCAGCTTGGGCAATTTCCGACATTGTCAACTTGCGCTCTGATATCGCCCAACCTTTAGGGCCCAGCCTTTCTCGGGCAAGAGCGAGGACTGAATCTCGTGTGACTCCCTCCAAGATCGTACCATCCAGCGGAGCAGTGATGAGTTCATTTTGCCCAGTTCCTTTGTTCTTTAACGCAACAAATAGGTTCATGGTCCCAACCTCTGTGACGTATTCTTCGTCTCCAAACAGCCACAGATTCTGTTGATGGCCTTTCTTTGCAGCCTCAATTTGTGGGACAATGCATGGGGCGTAGTTTGCACCCAGCTTCTTATCCCCAACTCCGCCAGGCCATGCACGAACCGCATAATCTGTTGCTTCTAGAGAAACAGCTTTGAATCCGGTTGGGTAATAGGGGCCAACGGGGCTAGCAATGACAAAGAGCATGGCGGAGCTTGGAGCGCTAACGCCCAATGTCTCCTGCGTACCAATCATGGTGGGTCTTAGATATAATGAATAGCCGCGTGCGCTGAGAAGAAAGATAACTAATCAGTAACAAGAACAAATATAACAAACCCAGTACCTATTCGCATAGCAAGTTCAATCATCAAAGCTTACTCAGGAATAAATCTACTATCTAGTTTAACAAGTTCGCCAATGAGCTTTATCGCGGCGTCCGCGTCGAGTGTTGGAAGCGCAATACGTTTTGATGACTTATTTAACCGTGACATGTTCTTATCTGGTCTGAATAACCGGATGCCACCGTTCTTGTCCTTGTATGCCTTCATTCCCTCAAAACACTCAAACGCATAATGGAAAACGCAGGTGGCCGGATTGAGACTGAGGTTTTGGAAAGGGATGATTTTTGGAGCAAGCCAGCCATCTTTAGTATTCCAATTTATCGTAAGCATGTGGTCTATGAACGTATTTAACAACCCATTAGTTCTACCATATATATATAACAGGACTTTTTCCAATGGTAGAACACTTGCCAGTGAAGGTATTTCCAAAAACGAGCTTCTCGGGCTGAATAGGTTGTTTCGGCGAGGTAGTTTTCGTAATAGATAATTTGGAGACATCAATTCCTGGTAATCCATCGCTCCGGCTTGCGAAATCCGTGCTGAACTTCCTTTGGCAAGGAATGGAATATCTCCATGCGGAACTGCTGCCGCTGAGCGCGGGAATTCCCCTTCGTGTTGTTGAGTATAGAGCGGACTTCATGATTCTTCGCAGGAGTCAAGTGGCGTTTGAACGGGAGAATACGAGAAATTGGAGGGGCGGGAAAGGTATATAACGGGGTGAGTCAGTGGCTGGTTCTTCTTGTTGAAGGGCGTGACGCTTTGCCGGTGGATGCAGAAAAATTGTCTTGCCGTTCTCCGTACTCCGTATCTGGCCTTTCCCGCGCCATCATCCCCAGCACCGACCGGCAGAGGCGGGCGGCCAATCAGCGGCGCCTGCTCGCGCACTGATGCGAGCTCGGACAGTACGAAATAACGTAATAATTGAGTCATCAAGCACCGCGGCTAATTCACGTGAGCTCATGTGACCGTGGCTAGCCGTGGAAGTTGTGTGGAGCCGCATCCGAACCTCACAGATCTTTATCTTGACCGCATGGACTCCACAGATACCGACAGGATGTCACAGATACCGGTTCGCGTATAGGGGCCGGTGTGAATATTGCGCTGTTATTCCATATATCACTGGAGGAGAGTAAGGGAAAGAAAGAGAGTGGACTGCCTGTGTTGGGATGTAATCTTGATGTTGGCTCATGGATTAATCACTCCAAAAGGGAACACGACTCCCTGAGCTGATACTCCCTGGTCTTAATGCTTCAGTCTGACCACATACAGATACAGCCGTCTCCTTGTCTTGGTTTTCTTGGCAATTTTATATTCATATTTCCCCCAAGGTCGCCATGTTTTCTTCTGCTTTGAAGTCTTTTAGCTCAAACATAGCTGCCAATTACCAGCTATCCCCGCACCCCTCGTTTACTTCTGGCCCGTGGAAAGTTTATGAAGGCAAGAAAAAGAGTACCGGAGTTGCAGCATCGGTTTTCGTTTTTGATCGGAAATCGCTTGATGCGCGGCCTGGTGGCCTTGGCTCCCGATCTAACACCTCGTCTCTGAAAAAGTTACATGATGAAGTTGTCGAAAGGCTTAGACGGGAAGCAAGTAGCCTCACCCGGCTAAGGCATCCTTCCATTCTACAGGTCCTGGAGCCAGTGGAAGACACCCGAAATGGCGGTTTGATGTTTGCAACGGAGCCAGTCACCACATCTTTAACTGGGCTGTTGCGGGAGAAAGATGAGCAAGAGAGATTTTCCGGTGGTGGGCGGGCCGGCCGATCTATCGGCGGGGAGTCCGATGTAAATCGAACTGGGAATAGTATCGAATTGGATGAAATCGAAATCCAGAAAGGTTTACTGCAAATTGCCAAAGGCCTAGAATTTTTGCATGAATCTGCCGGTCTTGTCCACGGCAACTTGACCCCTGAAGCCATCTACATCAACACGAAATCCGACTGGAAAATATCTGGCCTTGCCTTTGCTGGTCCAGCTGACGCAGGCTCACAGTCATCTTTGCCTCCAATTGCACTTTCAGAGGTTCTATATCAAGATCCCAGACTACCAGCTTCCGTTCAACTTGACCTGGACTATACCTCTCCTGACTTCGTAATTGACTCGAATATCTGCACGTCTGCAGACCTCTTCTCCCTCGGCCTTATCATTGTTACTCTTTATAATTCTCCTCACACGTCTCCTCTTAAAACACACGGCAATCCTTCTACATACAAAAAATTATTAAGCTCACCGTCGACAATACCGTCACAGAGTAATGGATTTCTTGCCTCAGGCCCAATACCAAAGGATCTAGCGTCTCACGTTCTACCTAGGCTCATTGCTAGAAGACCGGCTCAGCGCATGGATGCAAAGGAGTTCCAACAATCCCAATACTTCGATAATGTACTAGTGTCAACTATACGCTTTCTGGAGACTTTGCCTGCGAAAACAGTTAATGAGAAGTCTCAATTCATGAAAGGATTGGGTCGCATCTTGCCCGAGTTCCCGGCTTCTGTCCTCGAAAGGAAGGTTCTTGGTGCCCTCCTGGATGAAAGCAAAGACAAAGAATTGCTTCCACTTATCCTGTCGAATGTGTTTAAAATTATCAAAATTATTCCATCCGGTCCGCGGGTCGTTCCTGAGAAAGTCCTTCCCCACATCAAATCAATTTTTCTGCCAGCTGGAGCAAAAGGCTCTACGCAGGAGCGTGATCATTGCAAAGATGCTAGTCTCATGGTTGTTCTCGAAAATATGGATATTATAGCGAAAACCTGTTCGGGACGGGATTTTAAAAATGGTTTGTATATTGATTCCTTTTGATTTATATTTAGCCCTGTTTACTAACGGCTATCTGCCAGACGTACTACCTCTGATCCGTCTAGGATTAGAGTCCAACGCCCACTCGCTAGTCGACGCTTCAATGCGGTGCCTCCCCGTGATGCTGCCAATTCTTGATTTCTCGACTGTGAAGGATGACGTTTTCCCTCCTATTGCCTCCGTTTTCACCAGAACCAGCAGCCTTGCCATCAAAGTTAGAGGTTTGGAGTCGTTTGCTATTTTATGCGGTGGTTCCGTAAAGGAAGCATCTTTGACTCCGAACGGTGATTTCGTTGGCACCTCAAGCAAGTCCGAGCAACCCAAGTCCGGCTCAACTTCGATTCTTGACAAGTATACTGTCCAAGAAAAAATAGTTCCCTTGCTAAAAGCTATTAAAACAAAAGAGCCTGCAGTTATGATGGCAGCTCTAAACGTGTTTCGACAGGTCGGCCAAATTGCCGAAACTGAATTCATCGCTCTAGAGATCATTCCAACGTTGTGGAATTTCAGTCTGGGCCCGCTTCTCAACGTCCAGCAATTTGGCCGCTTCATGGACCTGATAAAATCCCTCTCTTCAAGGGTCGAGCAACAACAAACGAAAAAGCTACAATCGCTTTCCTCGTCAAATGATTCCGGAAACCCTAGAAAGAGTGATTCTAATTTATTCGGAACGATGGAAACTGCAAATGGCGGAACTGATGTTGAAAACACACGATCGGATTTCGAACGCTTAGTCCTTGGTAAAGCAACGACATCTAGTTCTAATGATGCCTCCTGGAATTCCTGGGACACTGCAAATCCGAACCCAACAAACCCGCAAGCAACTACCGATCACACGCCCAGGTTTGCATGGTCGACTGTGAATTCCGTCAGCGCCAACAATACTGGAGGTCGTAATTCACTTGCAAACGTGTCAGGGCCTTCTCAACGATCGATTACTCCAGATATGAGCATGGCCTCCTTCCCTGCTCTTGCCCCTTCAACTACCCAACAGCAATCATCCATGGGTTCATCATTCCCAGCGTTGCAACCTGCGCGCCCCTCACAACCGTCCCAGCCTTCATTATCTTCCACTTGGTCGACAATGACCCCGATTACAAACACCAATACTATCCAACGACCCACTTCGATGATGAATCAGTATTCCGCAAACCCGACCTATCCGCCAACCTCCACAACCTCCACAACATTACCATCAACTTCATCCTTTGGTCTGAATACACAGCCAACAATGCCACTCTCCCCATTTTCGATCCCTCCTCCACCGCCATCAAATTTCCAGCAACAGCAAAAGCCATCAACCGATCCCCTTTCCGCCGCTTTTGGTCAGCCAAAAGCGAACCCAACCCAGCAGTGGCATTCGAATTCGACTCAGATACCCCCAGTTCTACGACCGCCAGTTAACCAGCAGAAGCAGGGCCTTGATAAATATGAGAGCCTCATTTGAGAATAAATTTTGCAGTTTGCCCACAGGTGCCAATTACCGAACTAAGTGAATCTTCCCTACGACCCCTCGGCGAGGTGACTTTCAATCGTGTCCCTAAGAGGGTTAGGTGTAATTACTATACGAAAGATATGAGGCAAAATCCATTGCAGGAATATGTGTTTCATGGTGTTATATATCCATTCAAATTTTGTGGCAGTCGAGGTTAGGTCTAGATCTTCCACTTTTCTGAATCAGAAATGTTCTTATTGTAATCCCTTATTTTCTCTACAAGATTTAACTCCGTCCGATATGGGGCACAATCCGTACTCATTCTACTTAACCTAAATAGCCATTACATTGTTAAAGCGCTATTTTGTACGATATTGAAACAGTGGATGTTGCGGGCATAGTAACTAAAGGGTTGAAATCCAGAACTGGATACTTACTTTCATAGGCCCCGATAGACACCCTGGGATTTTCTAGGTCGGTTTTGGAATTGCTTTTCAACAGTCTTGTCGCTCGCTTGGTATCATATACTATTCATAAGAAGTCTGAACCCTGATTATTATCTCGATAGACAGACCAAAATGAGCGCTCTGGAATAAGACCTTTGTGATACTCAGCGATCCGGAATCGTTGATTTGTGCGCGGCACAGAGTGAGGGTTGATTGACTCCATGGAGCTGAGAATTGAAGTTAAACTCTCATTAGCATACGACTTCAAATGACTGCACCTTATTGAATGCGAGAGAGAGTAACCCTTCAGGGAAGAGATCTTTACACAGAAATTCTCGCAGAATTCACCATCCACTATTTCTAGTAACTGCAGCCCATTGATAGGCTTCAAGTGACGGGGCTTCCTTCTTGGGTCAGATGGCATACGGCACGCTTCCCTAGGAAATGGGAGACAAGAAATAGGATTTCCTAGACTTTTTTAAGTATGTGAAATGTTTGTTCTGATGAAACTCCCGGTCGTCTCACTGGAAGCGCATACCATTATCCTGAATTTTCGTCGCCTCGATATTTCGTGGAGATTCCGCAAGAAATGAAACACCCTCGATATCGTTCACGATCACAATATCTCACTCCAAGAGAAAGACCGCTAGAGGAGGAGCGTAGTCAAGGGTAAATGAGTAAATGGGAGGGGACACTGCCCCTTGCAAAATGTGCAGACCAGGCAGGAAAATCCTAAAGCAATTTAGAGAGGCTATTTGGGTTATCAAACAAATCATAGCTTCTTCTGCGGCACCAGACGAGCAACTTGGTATGCCATCGCTTAATCATTGGAAAAGCTGGTAGTTGAGGGCCAAACGGCGCTCGTTAAACAGCCTAAATGCTGGTGATCTTTCATGGATTCGAAGGGTCCTGATAGGCTCGCTATTGATCATCTCAAACCATTTTATATTCGGGGTTGGGAGGGATGACGGCGGAGCTGTCCGGTATTTCCGGGCTACATTGTATAGAATAGGTTCATCCCCCATAGCTTCCAGTGAGGCAATAAATAGTCGCATTCTCCTTTTATTTATGAGACGTGAGACGGGCAAGAGGACAAGGGCAATAGGCCCTCTAAAAAAAGCCTTTTGCTTCCCGTATATTGCCATCGAGCTTCGTAGTTTGCGGCGCGCATAGTTGCTCTGTTCTTTTTAAGGGACAAAGCTTCGTCGTGCGCATCATATCTTTGAACGTTACTATTCATGTCCCAGAGCAAAGCTTTTTGATTATGGCTGGCCGTGATGTCGTCTGCTAGCTGCAGGAGAGGTAGTTAATGATCAACTCATTGCAAATCAGCATTTCTAGGTTTGCTTCTTCGAAAAAAGAAGGGATGGGGATAAGCCATGCATGTGGATACAAGAGGGCGGACAATGTGCAATCATCCATTGTCCATATAAACTTCTGGCAAAAAAAGAGATATACAATTGGGGCAGATGTGGATGAAGCAGAAAGAAGAAGTTCTTGGTTGGAGCCGCTAGTTGAGTAGTAACTAACTATAACTATATATTTAACTTATAACTAGTAGTAGTTATTGCTCCCGCATCCGGTGCTGCTTGTTAACTAAATACCATACCACTAGTTAACTTATTATACTCCGGGCTGTCAGCCACATTATTGCCATGTCAACTCGCTGCTGCTAGTTAATCCTTGGGTTTACAATTGAATTTTGGCCTTTGAATTCTTACCGTGAAGTTAGTTAAATACCATACCCCTCCCTCCCTCCGGCACCAAATCCCCCTCGGCGGCTGAGTTGCTTCCATGACCCCTCTTCGACGCTTGTCCTCCAAAGGTTCAAGCAACACCATTGTCCGCTTCTCTTCTACCAGCCGTCTTCTTCAACTTCGACATCAATTCCCCATTTCACAGAAATACAGTAGATTTGCATCTTCTACCAGTTCTGCTGCGGTTGCGACGCGATTGAAACCGACAACAGAAGTATACAACGAGACCCCCCCATCAATCATGGACGTGACGGCTAAGCAGCAGTATCTCGCCGACTCCCCGCCCACCGTGGTCAGGCTAGAGATCAAACCTCATTTCGAGGCGCTAGACGACAAGCAGAAACGATATGCTCATTTCATCAGTAGGTAAGTAGTTCTTTTATTCTTATATTCCTTCCACCTAGGCTATGCTACTCTGCTGCTCATTGAACATATTCATGGTTCCCTTTGGACACTTGCCTACATATCCCAATTTCCCCCAATTTCCCCCAATTCCCAAAATGCAAACAAAGCACATTGTTCAAAGAAATAGAACTGACCATGCCGCAGAGCTGCCTTCCAAGGAACTCGGATCACGCTACGCCAAGTCTCCCCGGAGTCCGAACCCATCTACGATCTGATCATCTCCCTCTACCGTGCTTGCAATGGCGATTGGAACTCCCTGGCCCAGAAGACCGGTGTGAGCGCAGAAAATCTACGCTTCTTCCTGGAATACGCGACCCAGTTCTTAGGCAATTGCGGATCGTACAAGGGATTCGGAGATTCCAAATTTATTCCTAGAATACCTGCTGACGCCCTGGAAGCGCTCGCCTCCGTTACTCCAGAAACAAAAGCAGCATGGGAGAAAGCGACAAAGTCTGGTGGAGGGATATATGAGACCGCCACTACCGATCTGATGCATCTCGGTTATCCAGAAAACGGACACATGTCGACCTATTACCCCGACTCCCCAAACATCACGACCGAAGAGATCTCTCTGATAGCTTCCTTTTTGGAAGATAAAAAGTTATTACCGGAGAACACAAGGTTGCGCAAAACCCAGTCTGGAGACTTCGAGTTGCTGATTGCATCTGCAGAAAAGTCACCGGCAGGCAGCGATCGAGATGTTGGTGATGTTCATAAGTGGGAACTCGAAGGCAAATTGCAAGGCAAAACTCTTCACCTTGTCTTTGGTGACCATTCTGAGGAGATGGCGAAAATTGCAGAGAGTGTCAAGCAGGCTGGGTTGAATGCTGCAAATGACATACAGAAGAGAATGCATCAGCAATACGTGAAGTCCTTCACTACCGGATCCCTGGAAGCATTCAAGGAAAGTCAGAGGGAATGGATTAAGGATGTGGGACCAGTGGTCGAGTCAGATCTTGGATTTGTGGAAACATATAGAGACCCTCATGGTGTCCGTGGAGAATGGGAGGGTTTTGCTGCGATGGTATGCTAACTATCACCCACCAAACGCTCAGATACGTATGCTGTGTGCGGCATTGCCATTGACATTCTACCTAGGTCAATCAAGAGCGGACTAAGGCGTTCGGGAAACTTGTTGAGAATGCGGAGTCCATGATCCCAAAACTTCCTTGGGGCAAAGACTTCGAAAAGGATAAATTCTTGTCGCCTGATTTTACTTCATTAGAAGTTCTCTCCTTCGCGGGTAGCGGAATACCTGCTGGCATCAACATCCCGAACTACGATGATATCAGACAAAACCTTGGGTACAAGAATGTGTCCCTAGGCAACGTTTTAAGGTATTTATGCATTGTCAATCTGATACATATATTAATCTCACGTAGTGTGCTGACATTTTGCTGTGTAGTGCCAAAGCGCCCAATGAGCCGGTACCCTTTATAAGGGAGCAGGATCTTCAGTTATTCCGAGACTACCGGGATCCCGCGTTTGAGGTCCAGGTACGTACTGACCTTCCCTGTTGTCCCTTAACCCTCTGGATCACAAACTTCCATATCTTCAACATCGATAAATCTCTAACATGTGATGTTCAAAACAGGTCGGAATTCATGAATTACTGGGCCATGGAACCGGCAAATTACTTCAAGAGACAGCTCCTGGCGAGTATAACTTCGATATCTCCAACCCACCAATCAGCCCTATAACACAAAAACCCATAACGACCTGGTACAAACCAGGACAAACCTGGAGCTCAGTCTTTGGGGCTATCGCCTCATCGTACGAAGAATGCCGCGCCGAATGTGTGGCTATGGTTCTTGGCTGTGACTTCAAAATATTAGAGCTGTTTGGCTTTGGCAACGGAGAGGAAGATATAAACGGTGAGGCTGGGAATGTTCTATATGCCAGCTACCTACAGATGGCCAGAGCTGGTGTAGTGGCGCTTGAATTCTGGGACCCCAAGAGCTCGAAGTGGGGACAAGCTCACATGCAGGCACGATACAGCATTTTGCGCACCTTCCTCGATGCTGGTGGTGATTTTGTGAAATTGGTGCATACCAAGGATGACCTTTCCGATCTTGAGATTCACCTTGACAGGTCCAAGATCTTGAGCCATGGTCGACCAGCAGTAGCGAAGTATCTACAAAAACTCCACATTTACAAATCAACGGCAGATGTCGAAGCCGGAAAAGCGCTGTACGACGAGATTACGAATGTTGATGAGTGGTGGGGATCACAAGTGCGACCGGTTGTTCTGCAGAAGAAGATCCCGCGCAAAGTGTTTGTGCAAGCCAATACTGTCCTAGAGGGCGATAAGGTGGTGTTGAAGGAGTATGAACCAACCTTGGAGGGTATGATTCAAAGCTATGCTGAGCGAGAAGTATGAAGCCAAGGATGGAATTGATGAACGCATCCGTCGACTTGCTCCCTTCTGCAATGGGCCCTTATTGTTATTCTCATTATCGTTGTCTAGTTTCACATATTCATGCAACTCTACGACCCCCACGATAACGTGGCAGCTATAACCGAAATGCAGAAGGCGAAACAACATCAGTATTGACAGCAAAAGAAGGGGATAGAATAGAACGAACAGAATATCGTACAGCTAGTGGCATCACATTATTAGTCCCAGGCCCAAAAAGAATAAAAGTAAAATACTCAATTTTGCGAACAGAAATATCACAGCCACCTAAGCGATCATTGAACGAGGATAAAGCCTGCTATTAATCCTGTTTATTGTCCGGGCCAAGCAAGGTTTCTTGTAAGTAGTTGGCCAGCGCTCAATACCAAGAGGGATCAATAAACAAACAACTTTCCCCCCCTCTGCTTGCTAGCCCAGCCCTGCCAAGCTTTCCATTGACCGCCGCCAATGCTCGAATTTTCCAGTCCTATGGTTTGGGCGAATGGAATTCAATCGCCCAATCCGGCCAAGCGCCCTCACATGACCCCTGCCAGCCCTAATTGCCATCGCCAACCTCCAGCCGATTTCCTATTGATGCCCGTTCCAACAATAGGAGAAAAAGAAACAAAAGAGAAACCCTGTCCAACCCTGTTCACAATAGGTATGGAGTCTGAGATAAGAGAGAGAGAGAGATTTTGAACAAGCGGAAACTTGCTTTCTTCCCATCCTTCTTCTCTTTTTCTGTTCCATTCGACAAGATACACCGACACTGAGGTTACACCCCCCACCCGGAACCTAGAGGAGCTTGTGCCGCCGTTCTCTCCCCAATTGCTGGAAATGGAGGTCAATCAATGTTATTAGAGCAGAGTTTCTCTTCTTTTCTTTTCTTTGAAAGATGTTGATTCCTAGCTCCTCTGTCAGCCGCCTAGGGTCCGGCGACAAGGAAACTGTCCGGCAGTGGCTGCAGTCAAGCAATTCCCCCCTCCTAAAAGTGTGTGTCTGTTAGGCCCTCTACCCGTAGGTTTTCTTTTTCCTTTCCTTTCGTGCTTTTCGTCCCTTTTCCCAACTATGCGGGCACTGGATGATTTAATCCCCGAATGACAATAACTTAATAGATACAGTTTGCCCCCACTCCAGCATTTTTGCCCAGAGTCGGGCATGCTTTTTATTGTTGTTGTTGGTGGTGGTGGTGGTGGTGATGATGGCTGGCGATAAGCCATTTAGCCGAAACGGGTATACAACTAACTGCGACTGCTGTTTATATTCCTCTCTTACTATTATCCGTCATGGGCCAAAAAATGAGGACAGAAAGAGTTAAACCGTTATTGAATACCCCCTGCGGCTACCTCGCCGGTATTATCCCAGCTGGCATGCCGGCTTTATAACCTGAGACGGGGGGAGCATCGTTACTAGCCAATTTCGGCCTGTGAACGGAAAGCAAGTGCTGGGAGAGCATTTTCTTTCTCTATTGGTGTGCTATTGAGGCGGTTCCTCAATTCTTAATTTTTGCTACCTCCCTTTCTCCATTCTTCTCTCCTCTCTTATTGTTGTTGCAGGCTCTTTATATATATATATATCCCTCCTTGCATTGTCATGCGACCATATTGTTGCGTTGTTCGATAACTAGAGGCTATTTTGATATGCAGATATTGCTAGAGCGAACCGAGCAACCCCGCCCCCCCTCCCCCAATCCGTATTCTTTAACTTTGATAATTGTTGACTGCATGGAGCAACAGATGTGATGCCCCGCCTTTCTCAACCATAAATTCCCCATTATTCGGGTCTTGATATAGGGCTGCGTTGTCACATCAGCAGCGATCCGTGAGCCTGAAACAACATAGTCATTCTTAATTATCTGCATCATCCCTTATATATCCTGCGAAATAATAACAACCATACTAAAGTCAGGCCTTTGTCTTTCTCAAATCTCTGCCTTACTTATATATGCATTCTATTCATACTTTTCTAAACTCATATATCCCTACGCTCATGCCCTTAATCGCAGCCTCTTCCGTCACCATTGCCTAAGGCCTGATATATATCTCCTCTCCCACTCACATTGATATTCTACTCTAGCAAGAAAAGGAAATACAAAATGCTACCCCCCTCAGACTCCATAAATCACCAAAACTACAAGCTGGCTGAGTTCGTCGCCAGCCTCCGGTCTCAAAATAGGCTTGTTCCTCCGCAGCCACCACCAACATATGCAGCTGCAATTGCTCCAGCTCCAGTCGAGGATGCATTTGCAGACATCATTGATGATGACGACGAGGAGAGCACAGCCATGGGCCCCATCTCAATCAAAATCGACACATCTATAGATATTGAGGGGCAGGGGAATACCATCGTCATCCCCACATCAATCGGCGCATCGACATCTGAGGAACCTCAGACGTCCACCTCAACTTCAACATCGCCATCATCATCGCCATCGCGTTCTTCACTGCCTGCTGCCGGCGGGAACTTCCCCTTGCAGCAACTCCAGCAACAGCGACAGGTCAAATCCGCACAGCTCGCGACAACCATTATCTCCGCGCTAAAAGCAGCTGGCATCATGGATGATATGGAGTCGGGCAGACAGCGGCCTGTGGAAGTCAACGTCAGCTCTGGCATACGTATCAGGGGTGACAGGAATGTCGTGTGCGCTGGTGTTCCGAAGAGACCGGAGTTGAGTCATGCTGGGTGTTCGGATTCCTTGTCCGATGAGCAGGAGGAGTTGTCGAGGCGGGGGAGGAAAAGGAGGGCTACTTCGGTATGAATGTCTTACCGTTTTTACTCTTTGCTATATATTTATACGGTGGCCTGACATATTATTCGCAGCAACCCATTGACATACCCTCTTCGAAGAAGGCGCAACTGTAAACGAAATCGTCATCTCCATCGCCCCGTGGTATCGCTATCTAGTACATTTTATGCAATATCACAACGACACTTTCACAAACCATTTGTCGAACCAATCGGAACGGGAATGCTTTTTATGAGCCCTGTCTTCCAGTCCATGGACGAGAAATACAAGCACAGATGAAAGAGCCATGGCTTATCTATCCAGAGGTGACCTCAGACCACCCTACAGAAAAGGCATAATATTTCACGAACAAAAATAACAAGAAACCCTCGCCAAACTATGCCACAAAGGCATCCCTGGCACGACATACATATATTTGTTTCTTTCGATCTCCACGCTCCCGGGCGGCACTTCCATGCAGCCAAGCCATTATTCCGCATCCGGCTCTTCCTCTTCCATTCATCACCCCTGAGAGCTCTCGCGTCACACACATACGTAATTCCATGCATTATTGCCCACGCCTGTATGCATGAATTTGAATATCTGTCATATTTTAACAGTCACAGGGTGACAGGGAACTTGACTGCCCTTTGTCGTTGTCGTCAATGTCGATGTCGATGTCAATGATCTGGTGAATGGCTCTTGGCGCTTCAAGGCTCGGAAGTTTTTGCATAGTGGCGTGCATGTCATGTAATATGGCACTATGGTTAGCTTGAAAAATGAATACCCGAGCGTGGAAAATACAACAGGATCGCCTTCATTATTGCCCGTTTCCCAAGCATCGCATCGAATAGGTGGGCTCCTTTCAGATGGCGTTTTTCTTTGCGGTTGTGGGGGAAACGAAGAAGGAAAGGCGCCGGTAGAAAAAGAGCCAGAAAAAGCCACTACTATGCGATAATTGTGATGAATGATTTTAACGATCTCTTTTTTTTTTTTTTTTTTTTTTTTTTGGTTATGTATATAGAAAGAAGGAAGATAGGCTTTGTGTAGTTTATGTATATATACGCGGACCAAATATTCAACGATAAAAGAAAATACATATTTTGAAGATAAACTAATATCACCAATCTTATTAATTAGAAAGTTAAAAGGTGTTCTGAGTCCATTGATGGCGTGATAGGAACGGTGTCTACCTCTTCCATGACCGTAGCTAAACATTTCAAGTTGAATTCAGAGGCATAGAAGAAATAATAGGAACAACTTCTGCATACGGAAAAAGCAGTCAGTTAAATCATCGACTCTACTCATAGTTTTCCAGAAGTAAACCAAATTAAACATATCTCGACTGAAGAAATAAATATTCCTTTTTCCGCGCCACCCAACTAACCATGTGTGTGAAGTAAAGGAAAACGTGCTCGGATTTCTCATACATGATATACATTTCAACACATCAAGCTGATTCCACAAGATACAGTTACATATAGGGAGAAAAAAAAAAAAAAAAAAAAAAAAAAAAAAAAAAAGGACTATGCTTCTCACATATCATGGGTGAGCAATTGGTCACCAGATCATATCAATCAAAATTAAAAGTCGTTTTACATGTACTCTGTACGTATTTAGTTTGTAACTCGAATATGGCAAACCACAAAAAGAGTCCTTAAAGGGGAAAAAAGGGGGGCGGGAGGGGGACGGAGGTTCCGCACAACGCATCCGACTCCAGTTCCAATTCCTATTCCAGTTCCCATTCGGACTTGTCCCTTTCTTTTCTGTAAAAGAAATCAAAATCGAAATAAATTATGAAATCAACGCCCAACGGGTATATCAATGCGATGCAGTGCCATGGACCATACTGGCATCCGCTTATCACGTTCATATAGCAAGCCGCAGCTGTGGCATAATGTCTAGATAAAACCACAAACGCAGGTGCAAAATAGTCAGCATTCATGAGCTTTTTCTCTTTTTGCGAGACGGAGCCAGCTAAAATAAGCAGCGATCAAGGAAAGTGATGGATGGAGTGATATATGTTCAATCCATTTTTTGCTTACCCTTGGCCCAGCCGGTCCATCTCTAACAGCCCAAACCGCTGTGCCCCAAACGGCACAATTAGCACAGCGCCATGTTTGTCTCTCCCTGATGATGCACCAAATATTAGCGTCATATCTAGGAAATAATGATATCCAAGCAAAAAGTTAGAAAGGAAAGCGAAGGAGTGGATTAACAAACCAGTCACTAAGCGTCCCCCCACCGCCACCATACCCAGCACCTGCCCCGGTATCCGGCGTGCCCCTCCCACCGCCACCAGGCGTCCCACTCCTCCCCCCAAGCGGGCTGATACTCCGGAACCGACGTTTTTTCTTACTCCTCTCACCCCTCCCCATCGGCTCATCGGGAATATCAAAATACCCACCACCAGACGAACTCTGCTGCCTCGTCAACTCCGGCGCAATCCCACTCGTCGACGAAAACCTCGCTGTCTCCCTTCGCAATCGGCGAATCTGCCTCTCCCGATCCCCCTCCCTCTTCTCAATCTCCTCTTTCGACAACGTCTCCACCTTCGGCTCCCATTCATCGCCCAGTCCATCTGGATCATAGCGCCACCCAGCCTCTTGCCCATTTGCAGCCTGGTTATCAATCTCATTTCCATATCCGCCCAGCCCGCTAATCAACCCACCGCTCTCACAGACTTCCTTCTTCAACCTCAACACGGCCTCGTAAATACCATGCGCCACGGCGCTGACCCATTCGGGGCCCAGGCCTAAATCTGCGCATGTCACGCGCGCAAATTCCTCGGCGAGTCCTTGCGGGTGGAGTAGGGACCATTCGAATTTATCTGTATAGAGTCTGTTTTGTAGGTTTATGTTCAAATTCACGACGCAGCGGTAGGCGTCGTCGGGGTTTAGTTCGTTGTCATCCGTGGTGGCTTGCTGGGAGGATACGATTACGCTGCCCTTTCCGGGGCTCGTGTCTGCTAGAGAAGCGGGCGTTGGGGCGCTCGTGGCACCGGGAGTTGCGGAGACGCCTCTCGAGGAGGCTGCCTGGGGGTTTGTAATTGTTTGTTGCTGTGGGCTTTGGAATAGGGGGTGTAATGCGACGCCGGCATACTCTTCCAGTTGCTGGCGGAGCTGGTTGGAGATCGCCACGGTCATTGCTTGCGGATTTGGCAGATCTAGATCGCGCACCATGGTTGTAGCAAATTCTTCGGGTGTCGTGAGTGCTTCGTGTAGATTCCAGAGAAAGGTATCCTTAATTCGATAAGCAGGCGCTGGTTCTGGTTTTCGATAGGCGGGCGAGGCAGGGTTGATACCCAGTTCTAGATAGTTTCGCGGTAAAGGGAATGGTTCTGCGGGTTGGTAGGCGGGTACTTCGAGATCGATACGGATGGGAACTAGGGTTAATGGGAGTTGTGCTTGTGTGCTCAGCTGTTTCTTCCTCCTAAACACGGATGAACATCGACCTCCGTTAGTTTTTCATATCTACATCATCCGAACAAAGGAAATAACGAAAGGGGGATAAATGATGAACATACGCCGGCTTCAAAACCTTTTTAACCACCCAATCCCTAAAGTTCGGTTGCACATCGACGGGTTGGAATATCTCTGTCCCCAACTTCTCCCCCGCCGGCCCTCTATCCGGGTTTAGTTCCTCCCTCCTCAAACTCCTCAATCCCGTCGGTCGTCGTGGTCCCTCGCTATCGTCAAAGTCATCATCGTCGTACCCATCCTCCGCATAGTTTATGGCGATGGTACCACGTTTCGTCGTCCGCGCGCCAGGTGCACCTTGTGAAGGGGGAATGGATGGAGTGAGGAGCGCGTTCGCGTACTGGCGGAGGCGAGGGGAGTAGGAAGTCATGTACCCTTGAACGGGAGCCATAGTGTCGTTGGTTGTTCCAATTCTTGTAGTCAATGGTGCTCTTTATATACTAATTTTTCCACCATGGCGTTGGTTTCGCGAGGTGAGATGGGATGCGGCGACTGCGGTGTTATCCTTATGCACCTGCCCAACAAGCTCGATCCGGTTTGCGACACGAAAAAGGAAAAAAAGATGCTTCCTTGCTTCTCGTTGTTGCTGTCGCGGTAAAAACGCTGGATTGATATCGATATAGGGTAAAATTGGGTGGCTACAAGCATCAACTACCGTGAGCTATGCTGGTTATTTCCCACAGAGTTGGAGGATGTATAGTCCTTCTTGTTGCGTTTCTCTCCCTAGCGGTTTTGATGCCTCCAGGATGCTTCGCGTCTGGCCCGATTGGGTTGGGCTGTGCTAGTGCCGGATTTAGACTAGTGCATCCGCCGAGCCTCCAGTTAGCGCCAAAGTAACCTTGACTTTCTTCTGGTCTGGAAGTCAGGAAAATAATTCAAGCAAGAATGAATTCAAGCTAACTTTATAATATCTACTGCCAGGTAAATAAATGGAAAGGGAGTAGGAACTAGTAACAATAGATATGCGTCTGTGTATAATCTCAAGAACAGGAAAGAAATAAAGCTGCTTTCCCAGGTGACAGGTGGAGGGGAAAGTAAACATAAGCATTCAACGAAATAGTTTAATAGTTAGTCAAAATGGAAGAGGAGGAGGAAATAGGCTTAGAGTAAAAAAAAAAAAAAAAAAAAAACTAGTCTCAAGGGATATAAGGAAAACGTGCTGTCAAGATATAAAATAACGAAAATACCAAAAATCAAAGGCAGACGTGGTATGAGTACAATAAATTAGGCATGCCGGGGTTTCAGAGAACAAAAGCATAGGGCAAGCAGAGCAGTTTTATACGGTAATCAACTTCAACATGAGAAAGCCGATTTTGTGATTACATGGCTTCCAAGTTTCTCCGTCAACGCAGTCCAATGACGCTCTAGAAATAATGCATTAGTTTCGGATTTTTGAAAAGTCGAAGGGAATAGTAAGAAGATACTAAATCTGAGCACAAGCACTCACCATTTCAAGCGTCCACACTCTCCGAATCCAAACCTTGAGCTTCCCCTCGACTCCCTCCACGCCCTCAAGCTCCACACCTTCCCACCAGCACCTTCGCGCCGGCTTCCGCCAGAAAAGGAGAAGTTTCTGCTCCATCCCGAAGGGGCTATTATTGGTTAAGTCGCCTCGTATATCAGCCCGGAGCTTCGCCAGTGCCAAACTACAAATTACAGCTTTGTTCGGTTCGCCGGCACGGTGGCCCCATCGATCATCATGGTTGAAACCGCTAGCTTCTTGTCAGCAATTCATGTAATTACATATAATATATGTGTGTGTTTGTGTGTGAATCGATGTACACCGAGAGAGGAGGTACAAGTACTTACCCAGCGGTTAACATCTCAATGAGATGCTGCTCAGTCGATCCGGGTTCATCGCTTTTTCGGAGTCCTGAGAAGATCCCATCTTGTTTCAACAAGGCTCTTCCGGCAGCTCGCTTCACCTCGATCATTTCCGGGTGGTCAATATCGACTACGGGCGGGATTGCGTAGAAGTCAAGGTCTTCGCGAAGCACAATGATGCCCGCGCGATCCCGCAGCATATCCCTTGGAGACCCATGCATTGGATCGATAGCGTAATCTCCTTCAGGGGACGTGGTTGGGGACGGCGAGGATGAAGGAATCGATTGCGCTACAGAGCGGAAAAAATCTAGCATGTATTGAAGAGAGGCGGGGTCGTACTAAATGGAATGGCGCCATGTAAATCAGTGCCGTGTTTGGTTAAGGATAATGGGAAGATAGTCCTTGAGTATATGAGGGAAATAGCTCGGGGACTTACGTCGACGGGGTATACATCGCCTTCATGGAATGTCCCCATATGTCCATCAGGAAGGAGACCATTCGGGAATAAGGAAAGAAGAACGAATTCTGGTAGAGTGAGTAGTTCATCGCGCGACAGCGTAAACCGAGTACCACTGCTCACCCAATTCGTTAGCTACAGGATAATTTCTTCCGCAAAAGGGTCTAAATCCGTAGAGAAAATATAGAAAACTAACCGTAAATCTAACGTGATATGCTCATCGCCCCCAATATCTGTAAAACCGAACAATTTATTAGCAAGATTCCGGAACATCTACGCAGTACCTGCTTATGAACCATTGTAGGGGCGTACATACCTCCAAGTGTATTCAATGGGCCTCCACCTGTCTGCTGTACCTGCGTAATTATAGACGCAGCTCCTCCGGCCGCGGCCATGACGTAGGTAAAGGACTGGAGCGGTGAATACCCTTCAGTATACGGCGGTGGCGGCTCTCCGTCGTCTAGGCCTTTGCCCGATGCTTCTCCTGTCTTATCCCGCGAAAGTGCGGCTTTGGTATCTAAGACAACAGGCGATTGCGCAGGCGAGGGGGAGGTTTCTTTGAATGGGGGTGCTGGAGCGAATGCTGGGATAAATGGTGAACCACCAGATTCTGTGACGGATGCCTGGGTGCGATCGAGCCCCTCGTCGTCGTCCGGGTTGGAGTAAAGGGATGAGAAAGGTGGTGGGTAGGATGAGGGAGAGGGAAGAGCAAAGGGTGCGCTCGAGGAAGAGGCCGAGCTTGGTGAGTGAGGAGGAGGAGCAGTGTATGAATCGTCGTCGTTCTCCACGGTGAGTGCCGCGTGGTGTGAATTAGATCGCTGCGCCGTGTTGGGCGAGCTTGATGGGTCTTGAGTGCTGGACAACGCGATTGAGGATGGGTAGTATTATGTCTAGGAATCGGTGTGATGTGCTGTGGAAGGGGTGACGCTTAAAATATTGGTTGCATGCGATGTGGAAAGGAATTGAAGGAGTTGTGTCTGTCAAATACGGATAGTAGGAGTCTGGGTCGGAAGGCAAAAGCAACGTAGAAATCGAGATAAGATAGCAATGCCAGTCTAATGGGACCCAAGGAGCAAAGGAGATATGGAAGGTGAAAGCATGGAGGCTGGGTTGGGCAAGCAAGGGGTACCCCAAGTCGTAGGAAAATTGGAGCTCTATGGGATAATCGGTGGGTCGAGTAGGTATAATTAGAAACTGAATGAATCTGTCGTGGTGAAGAGGAGAAGTCGGCGGTGATAGAGATGTGGTGATGGTGGTGGTGATGTTGGTTGTTGTCGGAGTTGAGATGGAACTCAATGGACCGAGTTGAGGCTTAAAGCTATGCTGAACTATTTACCTAGTAAACATGTCACAAACCGCATCCAATCACCGGCTGGAGGCATGGAACTTGGACCAAATAGCGCTCTGGTCTTTATTTCATTACATTATTATACTTTTATTAGTTAGTTAACTAGTTATAGCATTTCTTGACTATCCGCAAAGTAAACTCTTGTAGACCAGGTTTGGTGTCGAAGGTCATGAGCAATCTGAATTCATCTTCCGCTTCTCCGAATATGGCTGGTATCATTACGGATGCTGCATCCAGCGCAATGTATAGATGCATGCTAAAAATGTAATATCTAAAATACAAAAAAATGCCCTGCTATCCAAAAGACGTGATGCTCCAAAACTCCCAACGTTCACGTATATACTATGTCTTGCCGTTGTCTTGGGCCTTGCCTCACCGCCCAAGCTCAACGATGGTGACAAAATCCAACAGACCGGGAAAATAATATAAACAAGACATAACTAGCTCGTTTAAGTACGTTTTAATAAAAGATATGTATCGGCCAAGGATATGCGCTCGCCGCATATAACCTGACGGGCGTACTCTTCGTGAATCCGACTTCCAATCCTTGCGTCACCGTGTTGGGTATTCCAAAAGACTAGGGGAAGCATGTCAAATATCTAGACAGGCCAATGGCCATCAGGTGTCTCATAGGGCACCCTTGATTTTGGATACGAAGTGGCAGGTTGTTCAAAATCCTTCGCCGGGTTGATCCCGCTGTTGACTTCGTTAGTGGTGCTAGGTGGAGTGGTAGTAGTGGTAGTATCTCGGGCATCAAGTTGTTGGGTCTTTTTCCGCTCTGGATAATATTGACCACCAGGATGTAGCGGCTGCGCCATCTAAAAGCTCCCGTTAGCATGCTAGAACAAGTCCCGTTTGATCGTGCAGATTCATAGACAAAAGTGTACCGGTGCCAACGCTCTCCTGCTTTTCTCCAGGAAAAACCAGAACATGCGTTCGTATTATATTTATATATAATTCTATGTATATATTTATGGGAGGGTACTGACTTGGCGGAATTCGTCGCCGTCAACGGTGACTTCGCGATCGCGGAGTTGTCGCATCAGGGACAGAAAGTTGCTTTCTTTGAATTTCTGGCTCTGGTCGTGGCTGACGCTGTCGAGCAATTGTCCCGCTGTCCTTGCAAGCTCATCCGAATCATTCGTCCCGTCAACTTGGGGTTGGATACTATCTGCGCCTATTCTAATCGTCTGCTGAATCTCAGTTCGCTCTGTGACTTCTCCGTTCTGCAACTGCTGTTCTTGAAGCTCAATCTCCGCTCGGGCTTCCGCAAAAGCGGTCTCAAAAGCAGATTCGTCAAATATTGCTTCCTCCTTATGTTCTTGAAAATGTGACTGGGATGCATCTTGATACATCAGGTGGTCGTTCATGCCACCAAATCCCATCCCCCCTATAGCTGGACCATATCTAAGGGGTGCCTGAGATATTTGCGGTTGGTGTGTTTGTGTTTGGGGTATCTGATGCGCGTGTTGCATAAATTCATTCTGCCAACCACTAGAAGAGGATTCCGGACGAAACTGCTGTTGGTGTACACGTTGTGCCGGGCCCGATATTTGCAGGTTTTGAAAATCCGATGCCCATCCAGAATTTGCCGTGTGATTAAAAGTCGGGTGTTGCGGCGCGGGTTGTAAAAACGATGCTGGATGTTGGACATCAGAAATATGAACGCCCGGTACACCTGCTTCAAAGGCGTTGAATTCTGGGTCTAGGGCGCCTTCATTATGATTTTGAGATCGGAAGCCCTGAGATACCTAGTCAGCATGATTTAAATCAGGTTATCTGGTTCAAAACTTGGAGGACATACCTGAGCAGGCGAGTGGCGCGAAAGTATTCGGTCTTGCTGCAGGGTCCTATCTACAGATGTATGCTTTTGGAAGCTCTGAAGAGCGTTGGAAGGACCACATAGCGCATCCGCCATGGTGCTATAATTTAGAAATCTATAAAGTCCAAGTCAAATTGGGCTAAGTTGAACGCGCGACAGGACCGGGGGAAGAAGCAACCGGCAAAGGAAAGCTAGGGTCGACAGCCGCAGGTATGAGGGGATGATTGGCGAGCCCAGTAAACGAAATGATAAAATGGATAGGATGTGAGTATATAGAGTGCTTTAAAGCATGTAAATATGTATGCACTCCTCGGATCTAACCCTTTAATCAGACTGTGAACCTCCGTATATCCGGATATGAGCAATGATGTCGGCGCAGGAGAAGGAGAGGAAGAGACTGGTAGCGGACCGAGGCTACTCACGTGGAGAAATCAGGACGACTTATGTCAGCAGGTGCGGGCGGGTTGCTTGATGTTTCCGAAAAAGGAAGTGTTTGGCGCGGCGTCTAGTTTGCGGCGAGCTGGCAGTAATAGCCGCCGATGCTCAGGACGCGGAGGAACAAACCAGGACAACAAGCAGACAGATCGATATAAATACCCGACATTGACATTCCCCCGCCAGTCCCGCCATTTTATGAACAGCCAAGATGGTAGGTATTGTTCCGTTCCTCTGCCAGGTTCATCTGATGCTCCTCTAACCCCTTTTGCAGGCGCAAGTTATAACGAATTCTGGCCACGATGACATGATTGTATGTCCATGCTCCTCAGCAGCGTTACTCCCCTCCTCCGCCACCAGGCGCATCCCAGCTCTAACAGATTCCCTCGTCCATAGCATGATGCAGCTCTAGATTACTACGGTCGCAGACTAGCAACATGTTCGTCAGACAAAACAATTAAGATCTTCGAAGTAGAGGGCGACTCGCACCGGCTTCTCGAGACGCTGAAAGGGTATGAGCCACCCTTTTCCCCAGCTTTACGACTTTAAATTTATACTACCAAATACTAAATTAAAATGTTTTGTTCTTCAAAGGCACGAGGGAGCAGTATGGTGTATTGCGTGGGTTCGTACAAACCCGTTAGAGAAGGCCCCCTTACCCTCTGAAGCTCAAGCTAACCCGTGACAAAAAGGCACATCCCAAATTCGGAACAATCCTAGCCTCCTCCTCCTACGATGGCAAAGTCCTCATATGGCGCGAACAAGCCCCTAGCACCGCCTCCGCCTCCACCGCCAGCACGTGGACAAAAGTCTTTGATTTCTCCCTGCACACCGCCTCCGTCAACGGCATCTCCTGGGCGCCCCATGAGAGTGGCTGCTTGCTCGCCTGTGCCTCCTCCGACGGCAATGTAAGCGTACTCGAATTCAGCGACAATAGCTGGACGCACCAGCTGTTCCACGCCCACGGCATGGGTGTCAATTCCGTCAGCTGGGCACCCGCCGCTTCTCCTGGCTCTATCATTAGCGCGACACCTAGCGCCGGACAGCTGCGCAGGTTTGTAACAGGCGGGAGTGATAATCTTGTTAAGATATGGGAGTATAAGTATGCTGTTTCCACAATTTCTTTCTATTCTATTATCCCACTTGCATTTTTTTTGCTGGATTTCTCTTGCTCTGAAATATGGGTTATGCTGATAAAACGAACCCAAACAAAACAGCGCCGAGAACAAGGCATACACGGTAACCAAGGTGCTGGAAGGCCACACAGACTGGGTCCGTGACGTGGCCTGGTCACCAAGCATCCTCTCCAGATCGTACATCGCCTCCGCTTCCCAAGATAAGACCGTCCGCATCTGGATCTCCGATCCCTCAAACCCCAACGAGTGGACTAGCCAGCATCTAGAGTTCGATTGCGTGTTATGGCGTGTCAGCTGGAGTTTGAGTGGGAATGTCCTAGCTGTCAGCGGTGGGGATAATAAAGTCAGTTTGTGGAAGGAGAGTTTGAAGGGGCAGTGGGAGAAGGTGAAGGATATTGAGGACTGAGTTTAGTTGGGGATGCGAAAGCGGTATTTTTTTTTTCTTTTCTAATGAGGTTGGGCGTATGTTGTATGTTAATATATCTATTTTCTTGTTCTCTTTTGCGACTATCCGCGAAAGGGGTCCCTTTTACCCTTAAAGAATAAATATAATGGGATTTTCAGGGGAACTACTTAGATGAACCACCCTTCTGTCAATCTCCCCTTTCCAAACCCCATACCGCATCCAATTCTAATTGTCTATTCCCTATCCCCTCTCCCCTGCTCATCGAGCGTAAAGGAAAAAAGAAAGAAAAAAAGAAAAACATCAAACCACCCAAAATACAAACGGTCCCTCCTCCACTTCCGCCTCCACCATCATATTCCTCCACCTACCCATCATAATGCCGCCCCCGGGTACAATCACCCCTTCATACCCATACGCCCATAGAAAATCCACCGCAGTCCAGCTCCACGGCAACCATCCTTCCACCTCCTCGTCGTCCTCACCACCACCGCCACCGCCGCCGCCGTCGCCATTGTCATTGTCATTGTCATTGTCATCAGCAGCAGAGACGAAAAACTCCGGGTTAATTTCATAAATGATAAAGCATATGCGACGCCAGCCAGGAATGCCGGCTTGGGCAGGACAGGGTTCAGTGAAGCCCCGCATTGAGTTGGGGTGGGGCTGGTCGTTGCTGTCATGGGCGTCGTCGTGGGCGTCGTGGTGGTGGTGGTGGTGGTGGTGGTGGTGGTTCTGATCGAGGTTGAGCGATTGGGTGCCGCGGAAGTAGGTACGGGATGAGGGCTCGACGTTAGTGTTTATAGGGTAGGCTTCGTTGAAGAGGGGGAACCATGTTGTAGAAATAGAAGCGTTGGTGGTGAGTGTGGGGAGTTTCAGCAGCTGATGTTGTGGGATGTTGTTAGTTATTTCTTGGGCTCGGGTGGTGATTGTACTGTACGAGGTATTGGGAGCGTTGGCTTGTCGCATGGAATTAGTTTCAGACGCGGGGGAGGGGATAAGATTACCAATGCAGAAGTGCTTTCCCAATGGCTCATTAAGTCTGCGCATGTCTGCCTTTCCTGTAGGTCGGTGGATGAGATCGGGAGCGGGTGAATGCATGCTTTTGTTCGTTAGCTATAGGTTGCTTCCAAATAACGACTTCGGCTTTGCAATTGAAATTTTGAGAATGGCTAAATCTAAAAGCAGAGAAAGAAGGAAGGGTGGGGGGGGGGGGAGTGAACAACGTACAATAATATCCTAACCAACAAGTGCCCAGACTGCCCTTATTCCCAAGACCCTCCTCCCAAGCCTTCGGCCTCATAATTTTCGGCATGTTATGGTACGATTTATGGAACGTATTCTCATCCCGGTTCCTCAGGTGCCGTTTCCAAAAATTTCGGATATGGAGAAGCTGGTACAGGTCAATGTTCTCTTCATCATTAGATGCATTAATAATGGGGATGTCGGGCGTCGATGAGTCGCATCGATATACAATGTTCAGATCATAGTCTGTCCGCAGCGAGCGGAAGGAATGGTTGATATCCAGAACTAGATATGTCGCGGCCAGTTGGATGGCCAGATATGGCCTACTAGGGGGGAGTGAGGAATTCGCGCCATCGCCCACTATGGGCTGATCGAGGAAGCCAGAACTCCTGATGGCCTTTTTGATACAAGCACGGTTTCTAGAAACGCGCATCTCGTCACCTTGCCGGGATGGTTGGGTATTGTATGACTCTGCTCCCAGGGTTAGCTGCTCGCTCGTTTAGGAAATACAGATAAATATAGATGGGCTGGACATTCTAAGCCCAACTTAGAACAAATCAGACGCACCAGCAAATAATGTAGTCAAGACGCTGAGCCACAGTTTCTCCTTTCTGCCCTCCCCGTCCCGAAACGAAGGTGTTTGCGCCAACATAATACTGCGCACTTTGTATTCCACCCGAACCTCTTCTGAAGATTTATCTGGCGGCGGATGATCGTATTTTTGTAAGAACCGTCTCCTCCAGACACCGGAATTGGGTGGGATAATGGCCTCCGCAAAATAGCGACAGGTACGGGCCATGCGACACATATCTACATCCTCCAGTTCTACCAGCATGACAATCATTTGAATCAACTTAGGGGTTGCTGAGAGTTAGTAAGTCATAGAGAGGAAATCCACACAATTGTTAGTTCAAAAATATATCAATACCTCTTTCGGCAAGTTCACCAACCCAGTCCTTGAATTTGATGCCATAGTTCCCCGGATGACTTGATTCGAGCTTCTATTCTTATAGCCTTTTTTTGGAGGGGGACGGTGAATCAGGACAAAGGCACCAGACCAGGATCAAGCCGTAGAAGGTTGCGTCCTACGGCTTAAGGGAACGTATCGTGAGGGACAAGATAGCTTCTTTAGAGGAAATATAAAGAGATAAACATGAGATAAAAGACAATAGGCCTAAGGAGACACGAAGAGACTGAATCGCGACGAGAGCCCACCGTGATATCTCACAGCCACAGTCAATCAAATCTGCGCGGACTGCATCTTCTGCTATTCTTAGGCCATTAAGATGAGGATGTCATAATCATAACCATCCCATCACCCCGCCCTGGGCGTGTCTCCAAAAAAAAAAAATTAAAAAAAAATAAAAAATTACCCCTAATTATTCACAGGAACACACAAATGGGCAGCCTGATACCCAGATGAAGTATCGGAGCATCTGACGGAGAGATAGAGATACTCAAAATCACAACTGTAGAACTCGAGAAAAACCGAAGTGAAAGGAAAGGAGAAGTGAGCGCACTTTCTCTCAAAACCACTATTCTTTTAGTTATGCCAGATTTTGGCTTATTTTAAGAAGATAATAGTTCTGGACAATGGACGGATAGTCCCAATACGAAATGCGAGATAGGCATGGGAGGTTAATTTATAGTAATCGGATTTTTTTTTTCCAGCCGCTTTCTGCAAGTACTGTGTAAGTTGAAGTAAGCTGAGGCAGTTGGCGGACGGGAGAGATGAGTTTGGAGTTTTGGAAGCTCAGGATGAGAAGAAGAGAAGAAGATAGTTGACTTTACAGAAATCAGTTTAACTCCTGAGTCAGCATATAATTCAGGCCAAGCACTTTTTGTTCCTTCCATGCTATGCTATGCTATGCTATGCGATGCTATGTTATGCTATTGCTATGCTACCGAGTAAAAAAATTTCCATTTCTCAGACAAGGGGAGAAAAACAAGAAGAGGAATCAGAGGATAGATAGATATTGATAGATATTAAACAAGAAAACCGCTCGAATCATTTCATTTGACTCTTTCTTTCTCTCTTTCTGGATTAAAACGAACAAAGTTATATATATAGAAAAAAAAACAAAAGTAGTAAAACCAGCGCTGTGTATTACAATAACATCCGCTAACGCTAAATGAATGAGCAAAAATGAGGGAAGGAAGAAAAAAAAAAAAAAAAAAAAAAAAAAAACCCAGCCAAAACTCAATAGATGTTTTATCGCACACTCGCAGGGGAA